GTCATCATCAAGACAGCATGGTACTGGCACAAAAACAGACACATAGATCAATGGAACAGAATAGAGAGCCCAGAAATGGACCCTCAACTCTATGGTCAACTAATCTTCGACAAAGCAGGAAAGAATGTCCAATGGAACAAAGACAGTCTCTGCAACAAATGGTGTTGGGAAAATTGGATAGCCACATGCAGAAGAATGAAACTGGACCATTTCCTTACACCACACACAAAAACAGACTCCAAATGGTTGAAAGACCTCAATGTGAGACAGGAGTCCATCAAAATCCTAAAGGAGAACACAGGCAGCAATCTCTTTGACCTCAGCCGAAGCAACTTCTTCCTAGAAACATCGCCAAAGGCAAGGGAAGCAAGGGCAAAAATGAACTATTGGGACTTCATCAAGATAAAAAGCTTTTGCAAAGCAAAGGAAACAGTCAACAAAACCAAAAGACAACCGACAGAATGGGAGAAGATATTTGCAAATGACATATCAGATAAAGGGCTAGTATCCAAAATCTATAAAGAACTCATCAAACTCAACACCCAAAGAACAAAGAATCCAATCAAGAAATGGGCAGAAGACATGAACAGACATTTCTCCAAAGAAGACATCCAAATGGCCAACAGACACATGAAAAAGTGCTCAATATCGCTCGGCATCAGGGAAATCCAAATCAAAACCTCAATGAGATACCACCTCACACCAGTCAGAATGGCTAAAATTAACAAGTCAGGAAACGATAGATGTTGGCGGGGATGCGGAGAAAGGGGAACCCTCCTACACTGTTGCTGGGAATGCAAGCTGGTGCAGCCACTCTGGAAAACTGTATGGAGGTTCCTCAAAAAGTTGAAAATAGAGCTACCATATGATCCAGCAATTGCACTACTGGGTATTTACCCCAAAGATACAAAAGTAGGGATACGAAGGGGTACGTGCACCCCGATGTTTATAGCAGCAATGTCCACAATAGCCAAACTGTGGAAAGAGCCAAGATGTCCATCGACAGATGAATGGATAAAGAAGAGGTGGTATATGTATACAATGGAATATTATGCAGCCATCAAAAGGAATGAGATCTTGCCATTTGCAATGACGTGGATGGAACTGGAGGGTATTATGTTGAGTGAAATAAGTCAAAAAGAGAAAGACATGTATCATATGATCTCACTGATATGAGGAATTCTTAATTGTAGGAAACAAACTGAGGGTTGCTGGAGTGGGGGGTGGGGTGGGAGGGATGGGGTGACTGGGTGATAGAGACTGGGGAGGGTATGTGCTCTGGTAAGCGCTGTGAATTGTGCAAGACTGTTGAATCTCAGATCTGTACCTCTGAAACAAATAATGCAATATATGTTAAGAAAAAAAAAAGAAGAAGGTAGCGGGAGGGGAAGAATGAAGCGGGGGAAATCTGAGGGGTAGACGAACCATGAGAGACGATGGACTCTGAAAAACTAACAGGGTTCTAGAGGGGAGGGGGTTGGGAGGATGGGTTAGCCTGGTGGTGGGTATTGAGGAGGGCACATTCTGCATGGAGCACTGGGTGTTGTGCACAAACAATGAATCATGGAACACTTCATCTAAAACTAATGATGTAATGTATGGGGATTAACAGAAGAATAAAAAAAATATTTAATTAAAAAAAAAAGAAGATGTGGTATATATCTACACAATGGAATATTCTTCTGTCATGAAAAAGAAGAAAATCTTGCTTTTTTGTGACAACATGGATGGGTCTTGAGGATATTAGGCTAAGTGAAGTAAGTCACAGAGAGAAAAATACCACATGATCTCCCTTATATGGAGAATCTTAAAAAAAGCAACTAACTAAATAAATAAATAAAAAAGCTCATAAATCCAGAGAACAGATTGGTGGATACCCAAGGTGGGAGATGGAAGGTGGGTAAAATGGGTGAAGGGGGTCAAAAGGTACAGACTTCCAGTTATAAATAAGTCCCAGAGATGTAATATACAGCATGCTGACTGTAGTTAATTATACGGTATTGCACATTTGAAAGTTGCTAAGAGAGTACCTCTTAAAGGTTCTCATCACAAGAAAACATTTTTTTTTTTGCAACTATGTGTTGTGATGTATGGTAACTATACCTACTGTGATTGTTTCACAGTGTATACAAATATCGAATCATTATTGTTACATACTTAAAACTGATATAATGTTATATGTCAATTATAACTTAACAAAAAAAATCCTTAAGATTGCAAATACTTTAGTTTGTAAATACCCTCAACTTCTACTTGAATCCCCAGAGTTGATTCTCTGTCTCTGGCTTCTCCTATACAGGGGTCAATTCTATTTTTTAAACAATGATTTATCTTAGAAATATGAAATAACTCCTTATAACCTGCAGGACAAACATAAACTCACAAACTTAGCCCAACGTATGTGAGGTCTTTCTGATTTTAATTATTGGTGCTTCATCTACTTTAAAATTTGTCTTTCCTCTCTTAGTGCAGCTCGAATGCCATCCAGCTAAGTATCCTTCCCTTTACCCATGCATTACACAAACATTCTTGTGTGCCTACAACACAGTATATATTCCAGTGACAGAGACAAAGTCATCAAGTGAATGAAATAGATAAAGAATATAGTATATGGCACTGTTGTGCACTACAAATAAGAATAAAGCCGATTAGAGAGTAAGAGGTAGAACGGGGAGAAAGGTATTTCAGATAGGATGGTCAAAAGAGGTGTCTGTGAGAAATTAACATGTTAAACATAAAATTAAATGGCGTGAAGATGGAGCTACTTGCAGGAAAGAGTTCTTTAGGTACAGAGGAAACAAATGCAAACCTAACTGCCACAGGAACCAGCCTGGGGCTTTTGAAAAAGAGAAAGCCAGTGAGTGAGCCATGTGACTGTGACGAGAGAGGCTCAGATAAACAGATAAACAAAGCCCTGATTTGTAGTGCTTGCTCATTTTCCTGGTGTAAAAACTCCCACTATGGCTGAAAGCAAGCCACCGATGGTTTAAAACAAGCTCACAAAATTCCTAAATAATAAGCAATCAGCTCTCGTGGGACCATAAGAACTGGGCCAAACGAAGAATGTGTTTCAAGGAGGAGGGAGTTAGACATTTGAGAAGTAAAAAGGAGAACTGAAAATTGGCCATTGGATCCAGCAAGGAGGAAACTGCTGGAGACCTTGACAAAAAATGGACTGGGGGCAGTGATGCTGATGAGCAAAGCTGGGTGTGGGGGGTCGTAGCAGGAACAGGATATGGCGAGTAGCTGTCTCCACCCGATGCAGGAATTGTTTTGTGTCACTTTCTTTTATAACACTTATCACTATCTGACAGAGAATATATATATTTTTTTAATTAATTTTTTTTGATGTGGTGTTCCATGATTCATTGTTTGTGTATAATACCCAGTGCTCCATTCAGTACATGTCCTCCTTAATACCCATCACCAGGCTAACCCATCCTCCCACCCCAATCCCCTCTAGAACCCTCAGTTTGTTTCTCAGAGTCCATCGTCTCTCATGGTTCGTCTCCCCCTCCGATTCCTCCCCCTTCATTTTTCCCTTCCTGCTATCTTCTTCTTCTTCTTCTTTTTTAATATATAATGTATTATTTGTTTTAGAGGTACCGATCTGTGATTCAACAGTCTTACACAATTCACAGCGCTCACCATAGCACATACCCTCCCCAATGTCTATCACCCAGCCACCCCATCCCTCCCACCCCCACCACTCATATCAGTGAGATCATATGATACATGTCTTTCTCTGATTGACTTATTTCGCTTAGCATAATAGAGAATATGTTTTACTGTTTTTTAAGTTCACTGCCTGCTCCCTCCCCAACACAACTTGAACAGAAGTTCCACGGATGCGCGGGTTGTTTTCTTTATTTATTGTGGGTGTATCCGCAATACCTATAATGGTTCCTGATAAATCTCACGTGCACGAATGAAAAACCGTATCAGAGCACACAGAACAATTGCTAAATAAAACCCTGGACGTGACGGGGAGTCTCCCACACATTAAAACGGGGAGTCGAACATACGATGTTGGACCCGAGCTTATTTTTCAGAAGAGTGAAATTATGAATGATAAATAATTGTTTTTAAACTACAAAACTTTTAGGCCACCAGTTATAGACTATGAAGTTTGGGTTGTTTATTCAGTGCGGGGGCCGTCACTAACAGTGTGATAAGGCAGTTTCCTTCCTCCAGTTGAGTGCGCGCAGGCATGCACATACACTTTCTGTCTGAAGGTAGAGCTTGACAGTGGAACGCAACCAAAGCTTTGGGATATATACTCTTACAGGTTCTTTTCTCTGTTATCAGACTCGACAGAAGTCCTCTCTATTCTCCACTCTGTCCCGTCCGTACTCAGGCTCTCAAAATCTTCTATGAAACTTTCTCTGAACAATGCAGCCTCTGGTGATCACTCTTTGTTAAACTCCCATTTCACTAATTGTGCTTTATGACATCTCCCCAAAGAATTTTAAGCTCTCGAAGGAGTTGCTTTGTCCCAAAATGTCCCCAGGACAATTATATACACATGGAAATCACTTACTAAACATTTACTGATTGAATGAAACCATGAATTAATACACGAATTCAAATAATGCATAGGCTAACTTTCTAACAAGTGCCTACATGCTCATCAGACTTTTCTGGGAGGGTCTCCGAGTTTACCCTAAATGTCCGTATGTTTTGGACTATATCCTGTTTTATCTTTATTAGCAGTTTTTAAACTTTACAAGAATGGATAAGGCAGTAAAAAGTATAAAAAAAAAGGACAGGAATTTTAAAAGACATATGAAACAAATAATGATATAACAAAGGATTATTCACTTAGGCATGTAGACAGGGGGTTGATTTATAAAATCTCCTGTTGCTTTTCCAGAACATACACATTATATCAAATAAGAGCTTCCTATATAATATATATTTTAAGTCATATAATAAAAAGACACACAAAGACTAGGCTTAAAATTTTAAATGGGAAAAAACCATATTAAAGCTATACTTACTGTCTTCTATGTCCCAGCACTGGGTGATTGGGTCTCCATACTTTACATCTTGCCGTCTAGCTCGCCTGTGGAAAAGGGATTAAATGGTTTAGAACATCAGGCGTGAGAGCCAGATTATATAAACTCTGCCTCTAACACTGATAACAGTGGCAGAAGCAGAACTATGTTTGTCTTACTGCTCAGCTTAAATACAGGGCAATATTCCCATCACTCTAACCTTAATTCAAATACTACTAACAATAGAGTCTTAACAGAGTGAATCCTGTTTTGGAAATAAGTTGACTTGAATTTTATTTAACTCCTCTGACTTTTGACAAATTATTCAGTAGAACAGGTTGACTATAAATATAATCCTGGTTTCAGACCCATCCAACAGGGACAACTCTCCCTACCCTCTTTTTTTTCAATCAGTCAGTGGGAAAGTAATAAGATATAAGAGCTTTAGTTAGTGGGTAGGAAAGTAAACACAAATACACAACTCCTCACCATAGGAAGATTCATTATTACATAGATTTGATTAAGCAACAAGTTAAATATTGTCACCACAAATGGAAGTACAAGTCTGATATGGCAGGAATGGCTCAAAGTCACTCCTGTCTGCTGAGAGCTTGTTCACATTGTTTTTCCAAGAGTAGAGATAATGATAATAATAAATAATGGTGTTGTGCATTATTCTTACATCTGTTCCTTAAGAGAAAACAGTAGCTATTGCTTAAAAAAAGAAAAAGCTGCTAGATCAAAATTAAAGAAGTCTTAATCTCTTATAGCATATTCTCATTCGCTTTAGCTATTTTATGTTGGCACTTCAGCAACTATAAAAGTCACAGTAAACTCTGCAATATCTAGGGTGTTCCTTAAGTGCAGTGCTGACCAGGTGATAACCCCATACAAGATTCATCTATCATATACATTTTTTTGGCTCACGTGCACGTTATGTTAAGGTAAGGGAAAATATCACAGTGACATGTCTGCAAGATCAGAGATACAGTCTTGGTAAATATAAGAAGAAAAATTATGATGGTATAAGGTGCATAAGGTCAAGAATGTTTTTAAATCTTGGCTTCTTGAGAAACAGGGTCAATTCGTCAAACTGAAGGTTCATTACCAACTAATGAGCACTCTTGTTTTTTAGCTCTAGAAAAGAAAAATATTCCCCAAGGACTCACTATCATAAGTATATTCTTAGCCAAAAACTATAATAAAATATTGGGGTTTTTTACTTTCGACTTGTAATAATAGTATCTCTCCATTCATATCTAATGAAGAAATTTCAGGGAATATAAAATATCTCAAGCAGTATCTGCTGTTGTACTCTACATTCAATCTGTGATTCCTGGAATTTGAAATTTGACTGATTTGTCAAACAAGAAACAAGTGTTGTATGCACTAGTGGGACTAAACTATATATTCACCTGTTACCATCGCATTTTGTTAATACAGACCTAAAGATTAAAAAAAAAATGCCATATACAATTTGCTGACATTTTACCTAGAGGAAAAATACACTTTGAACAATACTATAGGAAAAAAAGTTACTAAAATACACATTTAAAAAATTATTATCATTATATATTTAGCCAGTATCAGTCATGTTGATGGCATTCAGGTTCGTTCCAATTATTTCGCTATTGAAAACAGTGCTGAAACTGGATCATTGCTTAATGACTTTGTGGTGCTTTTGCTCATGTGTGTCTAGAAGAAATTTCTAGCTGGGTGTTGTTGGCTCAAAATAGGATGATTTTTAAGAGCACATAAAGCAATGAACAGCAAACAGCAGGGCAACATTTTGACATTTAAAGTATATCTGAGTGGCAGAAGCTGACCAAGTTAAAGTTACTGTAGTAAAAATAAAATTGTACCCAGTCACTGGGATGTGCTGTGGGCTGTATATAAGCCACACTTTCACAAACACATATATTCATACATTGTTTGCAAAACAGTAAGGCAAAGTATATACATATTTAAAAATAAGGGAAGAAGGGAGGAATGAAAGAAAGGGCAAAGTAGTCGAGGAAAACAAACCTGTAATAGTATTTAACGTAGATGAGGGAAAAGAATATAAACAATTTATCTGAACTTTTAAAGTTCCCCATTTCAGAGCTTCAGAACACTCCATTTTATCCTCCTTCAACACTGAGTTTTATGCACACGTGTAAAACAACACTGAATTGTAATAGTCTTAAAGCAGACCATGGTTTGCAATCTATTTTCTCTTTAAACTCTGACAAGGTATTCGTGTGAGATATTCACTGTGTAGAAAAGAAGGCTATCCCTTAACTCACTGTGCCTCTTACCTCTTTGAAGTGGGTGCGTATCGAGAGCATGCATTTCCATCCCAGGCACAGTAGGGGTCTCTGGCCAGACAACAGTCTGCACAGGCTTTCCCATACGTGTCGCATCTGTGCAAGGAGAGCTGAACCAACCCATCGCGGGAGCCAATGTACAATTGTTGCTACAAATCATGCAAGACAAATGAATTGGAAGCATCTTTCAGACTAGTCTTAAAAACTTCCCTTTCTTGAATACCACACCACAGACCTCAGTCAGTCTCGTCAAGTGTCCCTTATACAGAACGTAAGCACTTGTGCAGAAACATAACAAAGAGTAAGGTAAGTCAATCACTTCTACTCCTGGCAGGATGGGGGTTGGATGATGTTGACACTGGAATGGACAGTGCTCTAGAGCTAGAATAACCTTGGCTGTAATTTAAGAAGGTCAAAAGCCAGCTGTTAGACTGAGGAATTAAGACGTCAAATTCTTTCTCAATGGTTGAAAATACGCTTTGGTAGATTATATCAAGCACAGATGCTTTAGGCAACACTGATGGTCTTCCTCTGCTGTGGCTTCCTCCATGAGAGATGACTGAAAAAGGATTTATAAAACTTTCTTGTGGTTTGAACCATCTCACTTGCTAATGATGTATTTACTGATCCCTGAAGGAAAATGGGTTATAAGAGGGAGAGAAAATATTTAGTATCGCCGTGAAGAAAGTATTAAGGAGGCTTGAAAGATCACAAATGAAAGGCTGCAGGATAGTACATAAAATCCCATTTTGAAAATAAGTCCTGAAAATGATGCACTGCTCTTTAGATGCATTCACTTAAGTGTATGTGCTGGAGGACGTAGGGAGAGGGATGATATAGTTAAATAAGCCAGAGTCTGTGCCTTGGAGGAACTCATGGTCAACACTCCTGGACCATGTCAAACATTTAACAAAGGGGGAAAACTTGAGAAATAAATATTGACATAAACATCATACATGTACTCAGCCTGCAGAAATCTGTCTTATACCTCTCCAGCCCATGACAATGTCAGTTAGGACTTCCCGGTTGCTAAATGCAATGCCCCCTGTTCAGTATTTGTTTTACTTAAATTCTCTGTGGTGTTTGACGCCAAGAATGACATCTTCTTTGAAACTCTCTTCACTTTTCCTTGTGCTCTGTCTTTATTCCTGCCTAAGACTTTGGTCTCCTTTGATGATTCCTTTCTTTGCATTAAATGTTAGGTGTCCCCTCTTTTCTATCCTCATTCCTTTGCTGTTCTTATTCTCCAAAGAGTCAGTGGCATCTTGAAAACAACACTGAGGTGGACATACTGACTGCCCTCAATCTAGCCCTGCTACCCTGCCTTGGTGAGAGGCACGTCCCCAGTCACCCAGGACACAAAGGAGGCAGTTGTCCCTGAGTCCCCTCTCTCTCAGTTGGCCACCATATCTATTCCTTTCTCTTACACAGAGCTCTTGACTTCCTTCTCTTCCTCTCCACTGCTTCTGCCACTGTCACCACCTTAGTCTTAATCATTTCTGTCCTGGATTACTTATAAGTGTCCTAGTATTTCCACTGGCTTCAGTCTTGTTTTCAACCCCAGGACTCAGCCCATCCTGCCACACTGCCACACCACATCGACCTTCCTAAGAGGAAAATCTTATCACAACACATTCCTGCTGAAAATATTTAAAAGTTTTCATTGTCCTTAGATAAAATTTTTAAACCTCTTAGGAGGACATAGAAGAATGCACCTAATCTTGCTCTGTTTTATAATCCCAGATTCATTTCTAGCCTCCTTGCCTCCTGCATACACATAAGCCCTTTGCTCTAAGTGTCCACAAACTTACTAGAAGAAGCCATGGTCTCTCGCTCTTCACACCTTTCCAAATGTTCTCCTCCTCCCCTTGACATAGGCTTCCTCATCCCACCCTCTTTGAATTTATCTGGTTAACTGAAACATCCTTCATAGTTTGAGTACATGGTCTTCTTTGTGCTGTCTTCCCCTGCTCCACCTGGCTCCCTCTTAGACTCCCCTGTGTCCCCCCAGTTTGTGCTTCCACTATCACTCTGCATTGTCAGTGTGCTCCCTCTTCATCTCCTGGTTCCACTGTGAGCTTCTGGAAGTTAAGGGCTATGCCATTCATTCATTTCTGTACCCTCCAAGGGCAGTAGTAGACCTTCAAGAACTAAATGTTGAGTGGACAAATTAATGGAAAAGACCAAAGAAGAAACCTGTTTAGATCTTTTCCCTAATAATCTCTATATCATTACTAGGCATAGTAGATTAAGACAATGTTGGCAACACCTTATGGTTCAACACATTGTCCCATAACTTTCTTAGCCTAATGCAAGTCTGAACCTCTTGAATCAACTAGGATTTGGAGTATCATATCTGAGAAATGTGGAATCTAATAAATATTATTATTAGCTACCATTTACTTTACACTCACAATGTACCAATTCTCTGTCTAGAATTTTGCATGCAGCATCCATTTATTAGGAGTTGGATTTTATTTCCCTAACTTCACTGTTAAGGAAATTGATTCCAGGAGTCAGATACTAAGTAGAAGGATGGAGGTTGACTCTTGGGCTCTTCGCCACCACAGTCCATAGTCTAACTTTTAGATTCCCTGGTTAAAAATCATTTTTAGTGATTAGGACTGGTATTCTACATGAATTTCTTATGGCCTTGACAGAAACACATCCTCAAGAGACAAAGAAATTGAGCTCAGTTTTCAAGAGCCAAGGGAAGGGGAGAATATATCATTCACTTAATGGTACTTGGTTCTACTTCTCCCAAAACAAGATTGCCACAGTGGCCTCTAATAGGTTATAAAAGAAACAAATAATCTAGAGCTTTTTATATTATTTAAAATTTAACTTCCAACTTCAATAGATTTTTCCTAAATTGAACTTGAATTCGAGGAACTTGTTGCTTTGGTAGCTAATATTTACACAAAAATTAGAAAGTACCTGCTTCAGAGACAACTCCATGTTCAAGATGATTGATGAGTGCTGAAAAAAGAAGTCAAATGTTAATAAAGATAATCATTAACAGTCTTTTATAGTGGCCAATATGTTGTTTCGTCATGTGCCAAAGATCACTGAAGTAAACTTCAAGGGTCTGTTACACAGGAGGGGAAAAGGATCTTAATGTTTGCTATTTCCTTCCAATGTGTTGTAATTCTACCTTAATAGAAATTATCAAAATAGTTATTTTAAAGTATCTTATTACAGAAAAATTACCTAAATGTATGAAGAAAAACTCTGCATTGAAAATCGCTCCCAGTTACCCACAAGGCTTCTCCTTCTAAATCTGCTTATCTTAACTGCTTCCATATAATTCAAACTAGTGTTGACAAGAACATCTCCATAATTATTTATTACCTCGTCCTGCTCTCACTTAGATCAGTAGTTCAAAAACTTGTTCAAGTAGCAGAGTTCTGAAAAGTTATAGTGCTCCTTGTGGATGAGCATATTCTTTATGGAACACTGCAAGCTACTGATGCTCATGATTTTGTTCTATGAACTAAGGCTAGCTTTATTTGTAGAAATTATGGCTTTGTGCATGCAATATAAAATTAGAAATATGAACACAAAAGCTACCAAACTAAAGGATGGCATGCTTTAAAATTTTTTCATCTACTTATCATCTACCTATTTACTATTCATTCATTTCTCACTGGCCAGTATTTTCAAACCGATAAACAGAAGCAGATATCAGAAGTTTAAGAAAATACATAAAAAAGGAAAGGAAGATGTTAAAATGAGAAAGTTCTATCCAGTAACTTTTTTTTTTTTAAATGAAGAAAACAGATTCATCATTTAATCTTAACAGTGGAATCCGAACAATTCCTCTTGATCACTAACAGTCAATAAGTAAACCTTATTCTAATGTGCCCTAGGTATTGTGGGAGTTTTATTTTTGGCTTCTGGGTTCACACTTATATTTGACATCAGCTTCTCCCTCAGAAACCACCCAAGACTGTTTCTGGTAGATGCCAGATAGCAGATCTTGTTCTAGTTAACTCCTTGACCACTATTATCATTACAATGTAAACAGGATCCTGTGGAACTCAGCTAGTTAATTACCTTGCTTTCCTCCCCATTGAGGGCTCTACTCCATTTTAAGGCAATAGATGTTCACAGGGAAACAGCCCATTTTAACGAACCATCTCAACAAAAATGTTACGAGAGGAACAACATATTTTTTAAAGGCTCCTCTCAGAAATACAATTTTATTTCTAATGTTATTCTCAGAAAATAATTTTAAACTGTCACTGAGCATCTACAAAGAACACCACAATTCAAATGTACTGTTAAAAGTCAGACATTCCCCAAATCCGGAAAACTATTATTCCAGATCTAGTAACTCCTTAAGGGAATGTAGCATACATAAAGAATGAAGACTTGCATATCATACAACCTTTAAAAAAAAATTCCTTACAAAAAAGCAGGGACGTGTGATTTATACACTCTTCCAGTTTTCTCAAATTCAATTGAGGAAAAATTGAAAAGTAGAATTTATAAAGTAGAAAAGCATCTGGATAGTCAAAGAGACCCCAGGCTTTCATCTACTGGGGCGATTTGTCTGACCATATGCTTAGAGAATAAAGTAATGAGGGGCAATCCCAGGAGCCCTGAATTTAGTGGTATTCTACAGGGAAAGGGGAGTCCCATTCTCAGTTGCTTTTAAAACTTTTTTTCCGTTGCCTAAGGAGAAGGAAAGTAAAGGAGCTAAGTGCACAGACATCTCCAGGAAAAGTGATGATGTATTTAAATATACTGTTCTAGGGCGCCTGGGTGGCTCAGTTGGTTAAGCGACTGCCTTCAGCTCAGGTCATGATCCTGGATTCCCGGGATCGAGTCCCGCATCGGGCTCCCTGCTCGGCAGGGAGTCTGCTTCTCCCTCTGATCTTCCCCCCCTCATGTGCTCTCTCTCTCTCTCTCAAATAAATAAATAAAATCTTTAAAAATAAATAAATAAATAAATATACTGTTCTATACCAAGAGCTGTTAAGTTTCACCATCTCTTCTGTAACTATGGACTGTCTTACCTTGAATATCTGCAACTCCTCCAATACTACTTCTTCCATATTCCACTTCTCCTTTGAAATGCTGACCACTTTGAGGACTGTCCCAATGTCTGAAAAAATACATGACCTATGATCCTGCTGTTTCTACTTCAGTGTTTGGCTGTAAGTACATGCTTAGCAACATTTATATTGTTCCCCTCATTTTTCTTTCAATGCTCTCAAGAAGTCAGATTAAATAAAGCATGCAAGAAGGGAAGCTTAGTGGACTGGATTCTCTCCTTCCAAAACATGATAGTTTTTAGCTCATAAAACATATTTATAAAGAAAATATTAAAAGACGTATACTTGAAGTACATTGCTCGCAAAAGGAATATATAGGTCTCATTTAAATACTGGTTGAAACTATAACTAAAGTGGAATGACCTTTTTGTAACTTAATTTGAAAGGTGAAAATATACTAAAATATATTTTTCTCTCTCTCTCAGTATAAGAAGTATTTAGTTAGTACTTATATCCAACTTACCACGAAAGGTAGGATATATACATTTTTAAATCATGTTAACAAATGATAGAGAAATCACTGAAGCCATCTACATGGGGAAAATTGTAGTGCACTCATCAAACATATTTTATTTACAGAAACCTTATTAATGGGCTAGAAATTGAAGTTTTGTTTAAAATTATTTTAGTTTAATTTAAAAGAGTAACCCAAATTTGAAAGACTATAAACCAAAAATTGGCATTTAGTAAAGATGCCTTAAATACAGGATCTTCTATTGCAGTTTCCAAGGTGGCATGCTATTGCAGAAAGACAATCAAAAGAACGTTTTAGAAAAAACAAAAAACAAAAAAAAGCCTCATTTGGAAATCATACAAAATAGATGCTTTTAAATTCTGGCACTGTGGTTGAAGAATATTCACATGTATGGTAATGATCCTATTTGCACAAAATAGTCTGAATTATTTAACTCTGTTTTTAAATGATTCTAGGATTTTTGAAAAATATTAAATATACATTTTCCAAATGTCATAATTGAAACTCCATCCATCTTATTTACCTTATAATTTTCTCAGCAAAAGTTAGGTAGTACCACCTAGTGGCTGAATAGCATTTACAACACTGGAAATGACCTAGGAATGCTTTGGGTGGGCTCTGCAAATTAAGGGGCAAACTCCTTAGAATTCATGAGAGATTAATTATTTCAAATTGTGTCACTTCAGTAGTAATCTCCACAGTCTTGAAAGCATCACTTCCTTTCCTGGGTCTTGGTATTGCCATCTGCAACATCATCAGGCTTGACAACGAGTATTCCAGAAAGCCCTCTAAGTGTGTGACAGACACATTCCCTGATAAACCCTACTTTTGTAAAACTACGTTTAAAAATAAATAAATAAAACTGTTCTCTAGTTCTGAAAACCTAGTTCAATAAAAATGTCCATTTCTTGAAAACCCACTAATTTCTATTTCTTTATGCAAGGCCTGATTCACTAAATCATACAACATTTATCCACGATGAAGTACTTTTGTCTAAATGATGCATGTTAACTCTACCGCCATTAGAATTCACATGGTATTATTAAATGATACCTTTTTTTTCTTTTTCCTTTTTTTTTTTGAGACAGACTATATAAGCAATATTTCTTTTTCTGGAAAAATATTTTTTAATCATTTTATAATTACTGAGTTGACAGACAAAAAAATTAAGTAAAATGGGCTCTAATAATGAAAGTTGTACTTATCCACAAAATTCAAAGACAGGAAAAATGATTTCCAACAAGTTTCTACTTAAAGATTTTTACAAACTGTTGCTTAATTTTTTGAAAAGCATCTTAACTCAGTCAGCGATTCTCAAAATTGGGTGAAGGGATCGTTTGAGGGGGCTTATCAAAAATCTCCCTAGAGAGAGGAAAATGTGAAGTTTGAAAAGAAACATTGCTTTGCCATACTTGTTTAATTTTAGTCCATAGTCAATCAACAAATATGTGTTGAGCACCTAATCTAAGCAGGTATTTTGTAGTCATAACATACAAATATATTTTGAAATCTCAGATAATACCAAAGGAGGTGGGGAGATATTTATAACTGTCACTTAAAAGCATGTGTTATGTAATGGTAAGAAATACTGACTGATATTAGCTAATAATTACTCAGCTTGATTTTTACCAACAATCTTTTTGAAGTTTTGCTTTCTTTGTCTAATAGTGAAAAATTCTTTTGGAAGAAAGCATAATCTGGTTCTAGCATACCTGTTCCAAGGAACATTACATCGTATTGACCATCTTCTGCAACAACATGATCCACCACGATCTGGGTCAGTCTGTAATCCACATTGATCCTCTTGAATGTTGGTCCTCCCGCAACTGGGTATACTGATTTAAACATCACAGGGTGCCGCTTGATGAAACTGATGACATCATCCGGAAAATCTCGGGTGGATTTAATCAGTGGATCATAGGTTTTGCTTGGACACTGAAAAGAAATGTGAAGAGGAGTAAAGACATTGTTCATGCACCTGAGGAATTTATACTTACTTATAATAAGGTTTTTAAGACTTACCATTGATAATATTAAAGGAATGGTCAACAGGATCAATATAGAATCACATGCCCTTGTAAATAAAAGCAGTTTACCTTGAATATATTTAAATCCAGTTTTCTCTCTCAAAAATACTTTAATTATTAAAATGGAATATTATTCAGCCATAAAAAAGGAATGGAAGTTTGTCATTTGAGACAACAAGGATGGACCCAGGGGGCATTATGCTATGTGAGATGAGGCAGACAGAGAAAGGTAAATACTGTATGACCTCACTTACATGTGGCATCTTAAAAACAAAAACACCAAATTGATAGATACAAAAAACAGATTGGTGCTTACCAGAAGCAGGGAGTGGGAGGATTGGCAAAATGGGTGAAGGGGGTCAAAAGGTACAAATTTCCAGTTTTAAAATAATCACATCATGGGAATATAGTGGATAGAATGGTGACTAGAGTTAATAACACTGTACTGCATATTTGAAAGTTGCTAAGAGAATATACTTAAAAGTTCTCGTCACAAGAAAAAGAATTTTGTAACTATGTATGGTGATGTATGTTAACTGGACTTATTGCATGTTTTTCAAGATATACAAATATCAAATCATCACTTTGCACATCTGAAACTAGTATGTCAATTATACCTCAATTCAAAGTTGTATATATTTAAGTCCTTTATCTATGCCTATTTGGGATTTTGCTTTTGAAATACTCTTTTCAGTTACACTAGCACGAGTGAAAATTTATAATTTCAATTCCAAGGCAATTGTCTTTCATTCCAAAAATTCTGACCTCAGAAAGCTGACTATAAAACCCCATGCTACATGTTTCTGTTGTCTTTTGAACTGTTCTCTTCTTGAATTAACTTTGCATCCCAAAAGACAGCTGTCTCTGTTTGTTGGCAGGTGAAATGGCTAATGGTCATCAAAGAGAACCTAGTAAAACAGATTACCCTTGCTTATTCAGGCTTCCCAAGTTTCTCAAAAACTTTCTAAGTTATACATATTTTTCTAAAGTTCCCACAGTGAATTTGCTAGGAAGATTACTGTTTCCTAAGAAGATACATGAAATTTGAGTTGAAATAATTATGAAGAAAGTGATCTATAAACATGGGAATACATGAGAAACCATTATTTTCAATTTCTTTTCATTCATTTATGATTGCAGTTTTAAATTAACCCATGATTATTAAAAATTAAATGGAACAAATCACCACATCATAAAAATTACTTATAAAAGAGCTTTAATAGTTTTACACTGTAATTAGTTTTTTTTTATAACTGGTGTGAAAATTATGCTGTGAACAATTCAACAGCTCTTTCCCTGAAGGATCTGTGCAGAAACCATTCAGGGAATTTTTCACTTCTGTCTGAAATTGCCTCTCGTGTGCTTTTTGTGTTCACTAATTCAATAGTTAGCATACCCTGCCCCCTGGTGGTATAACACAAAAGTTCAAACTAGTACAAATTAAATGAATTTGATGTGCCTTTATCCAAAGAACATGAATACGAAGAGAATGCTTTCATAATTTGATTTTTTTACCAAATATTTACCCTTCCACATACCAAACCTATTTTATTATTTCAAAATATTATAATTCAGAACGTTAATTCAGAACAATTCTGTCATCACATTTGAATTCTTAATGTACTAATACATTCTTGTGGAATGGAAAACTTTGGCTCTATGTTGCAGGTGTAGAGAAGAAAATGAGTGACATTAAGGAAAGTCTATAAGAGAGCTCTGCTTTCTCCCTGTTTTCATATTTAGACAAGTTGGAAACATAATCTCCCCTGAACTGAGCCATTTATACCAGGCTCTAACTGGAATTTTGTCAAGGCTTCAAACTATACTTCTCAGATCCTTGAACTCAAGAGGATCATTCTCAGGGAATTAAATATACTGGAATTAGTCACAATATATGACCCTGAGATCCAATTTTATAGGAATAAAATCATAATGGGTCACTAAATTAGAAGAAATCTCAAAGAAGTTGTACTAAAAACTGTTAATGATTTTCCATTTGTAATTTGAGAATATTTCTATCTTTTACAGAAATCTCACGTCTGGTCTTAAAAAAAAACTAAGCTTTTCCTGATATCTATTTGTCCCAGGTCTGCACCAAAGAGGTACAGAATATTAGCCATTTGGTAATTACCTAGCATATTCTTAACTGGCTGCTGGTCTAAAGATCTAAGTGTCTTTAGTCATTGTTTCTAGCGCTTCGCCTCCAGCCAAGTGGAATCTGTCAACTCGATAATGGAAGGAACCCTATATTAAAATGGATTAAGCTACAACTCAAAAGGATGTGGAGCTCAAATGATACAAAGCTCTTGCCCAATTACAGGCTGCACGTTTGATGCTCTGTCAAAGGCGACTCATAGTGGGCTTATGGCTTATACTGCCTGAGGTACAATCTGGTTGGTCTATCATTTAAATCAAAGCAAAAGCATGATTTTGCCTGCATTACATTTTTGAAATAGCCCTCCAGTTTAAGAAATTTTTTTTTCTTTTGACTTTGCAGCTCTAGTTATGCAAGTAACCAATTTCCAAAAGAAATATCATGACATTCAAGCCACAGTTTTTGATACCAAAGTTTTCAATAATTAGGAATTTTAATATGAGTAAAGTATAGAGGAATGAAGACATGAACAATTTAACAAAGAAGCAAACATGACCATTTTCCTCCTTGCTCACCTCTGACAAGAAGGGTGAAGGGTAATAAAATCTAAGGAAAAAAGAAGAGAAGGAAAACCTGGTTTCTATTGACTATTATAAAATGATCTTTGGAAATGTATTTTTTTGTATGGCAGCTTTTCCATCTGGCATGCTGCCAGTGTTTGGATAAGATCTTTATCCTTTAGGTTGCTGTGCATGATCTCTGAGGTCCGCGTCTCCACTCTGCTTTCACAAACGAAAGTGATTTGGTGGAGTTGCTCCCTGAGGTTTAAGATAGTACCGTTTGAACTAAATATTGTTATTTTAGCACATTGAAAACAGTAGAATTTCCTTTGATTTCATACAGCTGTGTAGCACACAGATCTAAAAATAACGAGATGCCAAGCAACCTAAGCAGGTAAGACAGTAAAGAAGGAAAGAAAAATCCCATAAAGGAAAAAGAAAGCGTGGGCAAGGGGTGCCTGGGTGGCTCAGTCATGTGAGCATCTGACTCTTGGTTTCGGCTCAGGTTACCATCTCAGGGTCGAGAGATCGAGGCCTCCGTTGGGCTCTGTACTCAGTGAGGGGTCTGCTTGAGGTTCACTCTCTCCTCCCTCTGCACCTCTCACCACTCGTGCTCTCTCTAAATAAAATCTTTAAAAAGAAGTGTGGGAAAATGTACATCTGAAGTAAACGATCCTATTAGTTTCCTCCGAAAACCCTAGGAAATGTTCCTTTTGAAGCTCTGCATCTCAGGTATTAAATATGTCGTGAATTTTTGTCTGTATGTCTGTCCTCTTAATTTCTACCTAGTAACACAGTCCATCTGACTCTATGGTAGAGAATCATTTATTTGCGGCGCCAGCTTTCTTAACATTTGCCTGAGTTCTACCACTTCAGTTCCTGTAGGAAATAAATCAGGGAACTTACCTGTGTCTCCACCTACTGTGTTGAAAAACTCTTAAGATAGTTTAAATTTTGAGGAGGAAAGAAAAAATCTATACCAAAATTTGAAAATGTGAGTGTCTTGCTGGAAACAATAGCAGCACAAGAGTGTTCCAGAAAAGGGACCTGCCCAGGCACACCGTGAGAGGAAAGGGGGGAGCCCACCAGCAGCCAGCCCTGGTTCGGCACCTATCTTCCAGGGCTGGCTGCACGCACGGCTGGTGCCGTGTGACCGTGTTATGCTTGGCAGACCTGCCTGTTTGTATAGTGCCTTTAGCAGTGCGGTGGGAAGCGACGGATAAGAGGAGAAAAATAGGTTTTATCCAATGAGAGAACTTTGCCCCTTGGAAAGGCACCAGACAGCTGTTAAAAGTTTTCTCCCCCTGCTGCTTCAGGCTGTTCTCTACAGGTTGCACCTTTCCTTTTAAACAAATCAGAGGGTTGACTCATGTGAGGGAAGAAAGACGTGGCACATGGGAAGACTAAACCAGGCTTTCATTTTCAGCAAGCTGAGAAAACTAAGCTACATATGTAAAGGAAGTCTGATTTTTATTTATATATATATATATAAAAGGCGATTTCATAGGTGCCATCCTATCCCCTTGCTGATTCATCTAAGAGTCAGTTTATAACACGGATGGGGAAAGATCCTGTATTTAATGTCAGAGGCAGAAAGGCCAGGGATGCAAATATACAGGTACATTTGTCTCTTTCTCTATTTTGTTTTTGCAATTAAAAACCAGCTTTATTGTTGTTATATCTGAACCTTGAATATTCTATGTTTAAAAGGTTAAAAAAAAATCTCAAGTTTCCTTTTTATTGTTCAGTGTCTAATAAAGCAATTATGTTTTCTAGCATTTGAAGAAATGAATTTCCTATCTGCAAATATCCATTCAAAATTTTATTTAGTACCAGCAAATGAACTTTAACCTCTGGACCTAAAAATGTAATAGTAAGCTCCCCAGCTTAAATGAAGGTTGGATTCTGTCTACCCTAACTGGGTAGTAATTTAAAGATGACAATTAAGCCAACAATTTTGGATCATTTACTTTCTAAGTTAAATAGTTTTAAGCTGAATTTTTTTTTTTTAAAGATTTCATTTATTTATTTGAGACAGAGAGAATGAGAGAGACAGAGAGCACATGAGAGGGCGGAGGGTCAGAGGGAGAAGCAGGCTCCCTGCCGAGCAGGGAGCCCGATGCGGGACTCAATCCCGGGACTCCAGGATCATGACCTGAGCTGAAGGCAGTCCCTTAACCAACTGAGCCACCCAGGCGCCCAGTTTTAAGCTGAATTTAATCTTGCGAGACATTTAACAAAATATGGCTGTAG